AGTTATTCATATTGCTTTTGTTTACTTGCTACAGATATTAATAACTGTGATGTAATGGAATGATGCCTTTGTGTAATACTGGTGGGTGGTATATTATTTGTGAAATATGGAATTACCTGTCCTTTGTGATTACTGAAGACTTTAAACATCATCTCTTGAAGTTTGGAAGTGAAGGTAAAGTATTCATTAAAGTTACCCTCTGAAATATATCCAGAGTAAGAAAAATTTTTAATGAAAATTAAAGCAAAACCACAACAAAATGAAAGAAATCTATAGACCAAGGTATTCAAAACATGCATTATCGTTGTGACTGAAAAAAACAATTATTACCTGTGGTATTTTAAAGATTTGTATGATGTAAATAATGTCTTAATTTTTACATTGATCATAACCATATTTTCCAGTAATTTAGTTATTAAAAGAATTTTTTGCAGTTAACATGATTCATCTCATACATATCCATTTAAAATGAAGGAAATTTTATAAAAATTGTAAAATTCTTTGTACTCCCTATTTTGGTGTTTCTGTTATTAAGAAACAGAATTCCATTCATATGACAATAGAAACAAAGATTCAGAGATAACATTTTAAAATGATTATATATGAAATTTAAAAATCTCTAGGAAAAAATTTGTGACACCATAATAACATTTGAATGAATTTTTTTGATTAGCTATTTTTTTTCAAAATAATTGGATATCTCAAATGCAGTATACCCTATGTTTTATTTGAGAAAGAATGACAGAATATGTTTTTATTTATTATTCTTTAAGATCTTTATGTCTTGCTAATACTACTAACAGAATTAAAACAAAAACACAAAACCCCTTATTATATCTTCATATAAAATGGGAGCATAAAGGAACATATACCCATCATATAATATCTTATTTAAAAATGTTCTTTCAAATTCTAAATCATGATTATGTGGATATTATTCTTATATATGTACATTAATATTAGTGTGTTATATGAAGTGTTCCTTTTTTGGTGATATTTAGAAGAAGCTATTGCTATATCTAGGGTTTCATGTTAATACAGTTCTCAAGTATTTAATATTAGGAAATAGTTTATATTATGATGATATTAAATTAATTGAACACTTATACTATCTGGTTGTTTAAAATTTATGTAGTTGATTATAATGACTGGAAGAACAATGATTTGATTAGTAATTTAAAATGTCATGTGCATTATAATATATCTACATATAAATTTTTGTTGATAATATATAAAAGTAAAACTTAACTTTACACATGCTGTTTACATGAAACTGCTTTTCATGAGACCTATTGCTTCTTCTTGATTAATGAGCTATCCAATTCAAATTATTCCATAGACCGTAAAAGTCTAGTCAATCTAATATACCCCTAAAGTCAAAATTATACAGGAATAAGATATATTATATATGGGCACATTTCTAAAATAAGCTGTCTATTTAATTTATTTTAAATAAGAAAGCCTAATTAAGTGAATCAAAAGTTTAAACATAAAGTAAAGAAAACCAGCTCACAAATTACAGTCAGAAAGACCCTAAATAACAATGAGGACCCTAAGAAAGACATACATAGATCTAATCTACATGGGATGTAGAAAAAGACAAGAATTCCTGAGTAAATTGGGAGCATGAGGACCTTAGGAGAAGGTTGAAGGGGAAGGCAGAGGCAGGGACGGAAACAGAGAAAAATGGAGAGCTCAATAAAAATCAGTAAAAAAGTTCAAATGTTCTATGATATACTACTGTGACTTATGAGAATTTTGTATGCAATTATTGTATAAATATACTTTAAGTTGTGTTGTGATTAGCAGTGTTTTCTTCATTTTTTTCTACACTGAGTTTTAAGGGCAAGTACTTTATTTTTGTTTTATTTTGTTGGCTCTTTTATGATTTTATTTGACCTTATCTCTTAGGGCTTTTTTTTTTTCTATAAAAAAAGGTGAAAAGACTCAAATTTTATTTGAGATTATCTCTTAGTTTTTTTTTTCTATAAAAAAGGTGACTATCCTAAGATAGTCAATGCTTGTTTTCTTAAACGATTTCTCAATGGCTTTTCAGTGTTGTCATTGCACATGATTAAAAAATGACTTTATATTTTTGGTTGTGAGCCTAGCCTTTAATGGCTGAGCTGGACCTGGATAGAAGTGGGAGGACCTTAGACTTCCTGCAGGGCAGGGAATCTGGACTGCTCTTCAGTCTCCAGAGGGAGAGGGAATGGAGTGAAGGGAGGGGGAGAGGAGTGTTAAGAGGGGGAGGGGAGTAGGGGGAGGGGATGATGTGTGGGAGGGGGAGGAGAGAAATGGGAAATGGGGAGGAGGCGGAAATTTTTTTCAACAACAAAAAATAAACAAACAAAAAATGACTATTTTTAAAGGCATAACTATCTCTTAGAACACTACTTCTCTGAGAAAAGAATGTCTAAATTGATTTTTTCCTAGATCCTTTAGCTATTAGAAAGATAGGAAATGTTAAAGACTAATGGTTATAAGAAAAATAAACTTTAAACTTACTGTATAAATAATAGGTAGATTATTTGAGTTGAAGTATGAGTTTTTTTTTCCACTATAAACAATAAAAGAACTATTTTGATTGAAATCTACTTTGAATATAACAAAACTAAATTTTACTTTTATTTTCTGAAGTAAGGTATTCAAGCAATTATATTTCTAATATTATCATTTTTCCATTTGAAATATATAAATTATATATTCAGGTAAATTTCCAGTATTTATGTTTTCTATTGTCCCTGTTAGTGACCCTTACCACATTGTAAATGAAAGTGGGTGCACTTTAGAAACTTTTAAATTTCAATTTATTCAACCACTCTTTTGAATAATGTCTACTAGTATTTTAATTAAAGCAGAAAATACTCCTGCCAAACTTTCTGTTTAAACATTTACACACATTCCCATTAGACACTCACATTCAAGTTGCACTAGACACTCCCACTCAAGTCACATTAGACATTCCCACTCAAGTCACATTCACATTAGATATTCTCACCCATTCCCATTAGACATTCCAATACTTGTCACATTTTGCAAACACTTATTGCCTTATTTATGTAAAGTATCTGTCCTTGATTTCATCAAGTTGTGTTTCATATTAAATATTGTAATTGTTTAAGTTTCAACAATATTCAAAGGTACTATAATAACAAAGTTGTATAAATGTTCATGTTTTTAAAGAGTATTACTGTCAGTTTTTTTTCTTTTTTATGAACTATGGATATCTGGATATGACATTTGTGATTCAACGTGGTATTTATAATTATTGAGCTTTTAAATGCATTTGTAGCCATAGGCTTTTAATTTTATTTTCTGTGTAATGCATATTTGTTTTAGAAAAATGTAGAATTTAGATATGAATAATTTAATTGTCTTTATTTTATACTATATCAGGAAAATTATTATCATTTACTTAGAATTCTAGTTTGAAAGTTTAATTAGTTTAGGAAGCAGTTATTTTACAGGTATAAGATCATTCTCTGTGAAACTTTGGCAGCACATGTCCTAAAATTACAATGATAGAGAGAACATTAACTTGCCCATATGCAAGGATGACACATAATTAATCCTTTTATTTTATATTATTAATTATATATATATGTTTTTGCAACAAAATATTCTCTTATTTATTTTTCTATGTGTATAATCAAAATGAATACCTGATAATATAATATACAATCATGATAAATACCTCCTCCATGAAACTAACTATACCAACTCTTGAAGAAAAATCTCTCAGTTAAAAAGAAAACCATGTAAATTTTTTTTAAAAATTTTCTTTAGTGTCAAACTTTTCTTGAGGACACGAAGCCTTATATGGCAGCAAACACAGAGAGCTGTCTCCGAGAAGAGTCACATATACTAAACTCACAAACTGGAAAAATAAAACCTGTTAAAACTGGTTTATTTTAGTATAAAATGCACTTGACTTAATTCCTTCAATTCTAGCCAGAACATTTCCTCTCTGAAGAAAAAATATATGGAAAGTCCAACTATAATCAAAAGGCTAAAAGGTGAGAATACAGATGAAAATTTGGATAATGAAATGACATCACCATCACTTTGTAAAGATGGTCTTGACAAAGAGACACCTTGACTGTCATTATTTTCAGGTCTCCTTCACTCTCCAGACTGTACAAGTGTAGGTCACATCTCTATTTGCCTCCTTAACTCTCCTTTCATATGTCCTAGAAGTTGTTAACCCATCTTTAATGGATTCATATGATTTTTGTTTATAAAAATATGTCTTAACATATTTCATTGAGTTGCTATCAAATCTTGCAGGCCTGGGAAGGACTCTCTGCCTCTTTGACAATTTCATGCTTATCTATACTCTGTTTATTGACGTTAAAATATAACTCTCAGAGCAGGTAGGGCAATTAGAATTTCTTCATCTCAAATTTCCTTGGAGAGGCCCTTCAGTATGACAATGTCATAACAACAATTAGATAATAAAAACAATTAACAGAGAAAAGACTGTTTACCCAGAGGACTTGGCTGAATAGCAAGTCAAACTCTGTCAATGTCAAGAGAAGCATAATTGCTCTTGGGTCTTATCTGGGTCCACACAACTCTCCTGATTCCACAAAAGATATCAGTTGACTCTACCTTCAATAGACACCCAACCCAGATAGGGGCATGTTCACAAAGAGAGTCTTAAAGCCTTTGCTTTTGCTGCCTGGGTTTCCAAATCAAGTGTCCTTGTTCAGCTACAGAACTGCTTCACTAACACAGTAAGTTAGTTCATAGAAATGTTGGCAAAGTAGCTGGGATCTAGTAATGGCTTATATGTGCCCTATCTTATTGTTTCTAGTCTTAATATCACAACCATAACCCAATCCATTCAAAGTGTATTCAGAGATTCACACTGGATGATCCTGACAGCTAAATTCAATCTTCCCAAGACTGGGATCATACAATGAGCCCCAGTTTTATAGCATTGCCTTTGGGGTTCCAAATAATCGATACTGACTTGTTGCCTTCTTGCTTTACAGATTCCTCCCAACTGGGATATACCAACCATTCTCACATCTGTGACTTCACAGCAAAACATTGACTTCTTGACTTACATTGTAATCAGCAGTGCTATGCTTACTGTGTGTTACAGTGTTCTTGTTTTGCAGGTAAGAATAGAGGTAGAGACAGGGTTAACCCTGAGATCTGATATTTTCCAAACCGATTTTATTGTTCCCAGCTGTCTGTGGTCAACGTAATAAAATTCCAAGATATGACAAGGACAAGAGGGTTTTTAATGTCTTAATGTTATTCAGAACTGTATGCATTACCGTAGCATTTAAGAGTGACATTTAGAGAATGAAAGAATGCACCATTAGGAATTATGGGTCTGTATACAAATGAATACAAATGCAAACAGAAAATGCCTTGGCCATTCCCTATTTCCTTCCCGAATCTATGGTTTATGGGTGAAAGCTTCATTGGCCACAAAAACCATTTTGGAAGGATCATTACCAATTGTATAAAAGTTTGACAGTCTAAACATATTAGGTGATTGTTGGCCATAACTTACAGAAAATGCAAGACTAAGTGGAGCAAAGCCGAGATGTGTGGATTATTGCAAGACCCTGAGTATCGACAACATATTTGAATCCAGGAATTTACTGTTGCCAGTTTAGTATGGCTCTGAAGGCACTTGAAACTCTACGCTGGAGGGAGTAGTCATTTGATGGGTCAAAGATTTTTGTTTTCTTTTGTAACAGATTTAGAATATTCCTTTTTCTTTGCTGCAAAACTCTACTATGCCTCCTTTGTCCACCCATGAAGCCACACTCTTGTCTACCTCACCTGAAGTAACTAGAAAGTGCTTTTATCTTTACTCTGGAACTATATCCCCCAGGCCCAGTAGAAATGCAAATTTGTTTTAAATTACCACAGGGATGGACAAGGGTGACCTCGGGAGACTGACTGTACAGCATAAGCCTGATACTTTAAAATGTGGAGTATCTAAGTGGACATTAATTACACCCCAGGATTCTTTAGCTTTACTTAATTTCTTGCATTCCAAATGGTTTGTTTAGTGTGGTGCACTGGTTATATTCCTTATGGAAAATAAAATCTTAAGATTGCAATCAAAAGCACATAAATCATAATGTCTATATTAATGGGGACTCGGGAGACGCGGCATGCTCACTATCATCTGCTGATTCCTGCCTTAGACCTGGCCCTTACATGTGGTCCTTAAATTAAGCTGAGGGTGGTAATCGTGATTTGAATTACTGCTGTAATTAATGATGAGATTAAGTTTCTAAAAACTTTAAAATGGCCTTATGAAGTTATTTTAGTATTATGCAAACAAAATGGACTTTGGGCACTCAGATCCACGGGGGGGAAAAGTAGCAATTTAAGTCATTTGTCAATATCTTGAGCGAACTCTGTGGTCGTTCTATGATATATTAATTGGGGCTTGTAAGTGGTGAAATAATCAAGTGAAACATAGGATATCAGAGTGCATGCATGAGAGCTGCTTAGAGAGCTTTAATACAAACATGGAATCTGGCGGAGTTGTGGGGGGATGTTTTCTTGAATGCTTAAACTTGCTCCTCCTGAAGCAATTCAGGGTGGTGAGTACTGTGAGATGATGGACCACACACTGATTTACTTCAGCACTAAATAAAAGATAGGCAACCTTCTAAAGTATGTACTGAAGAATTCCTACAGAGTGGCAAGACAGCAAGAGAAGATTAATTCTCCTCTCAACCTTTCACAAGCAACCCTTCTAATTTTGACAGCTGTGCACTGAGTTTTGGGGTGACAATTTTAACACCCTGGTTTCTTCAAGAGATAGAAGTGTCCTTACTTGAAAGTCACATTTTCAACAATTTCAAGAAAATATAAGAAGAGTGCTAATATTACTTTTGCAAATGTTTGAAAGTTGTTCTTGTTTCTTCCCTCCTTCTCAATAGATATTTCTTTGGTGTCATTCATCAAATTTCTAGGATTTTCTACACACAATTCAAGGCTAATAAGTGATATAAATGATTCCAAAGAACCAAAGTTCAGTTGCAATTCGTTTATGTCAGTTTATTTAACTTGAAACATCATTAGTGCAAGGACACCAGGCCCTATTATGATATAGAAAGCCTGTGACATAAGCCCTAAATTTAAATTTCTATTGGTATAATGTTTTATATTGGAGCATACTTAGCTTTCCAGATTGGACTCTTTCTATTTTAAGAACTTGAACATGGGTATAAAGTACAGAGTGTTCAGGCATCATACAGTAGAAAGGAAAACAAAAAAGGACTTTTTACTAAATAGAAACCATGCCAATGAATAGTCAAAAACCAGAAAATGACTCAAGATATAAAGAGTAGTCTAAACAGTTATAGAGAAAGAATTACACAGAGAGACTGAAACTGAGTTGGAGGTAAATTTTAAGGTTGTTATTGGACCACTGTAGCAGTTTGACTGCGTAATGACTTCCAGTTTTCCAGAGGACCTGGTCTTATGTCTGTTGCAAGTTTTCAAATACTTCCTGACTTCTGACTTCTGATCAAAACTTCATAGTGCCTGGAGAAACCCATGTACTCAGTCATTTTATTTGTGCATCTTGAAAGAAGCTGAACAAATATGAATGCATCGATGAAATCTTACCTGTTGGTATCGGATCTAAAATGGAGTTATTTTGAAGTCTGCGAAAGCCTAAGGTACCACAGTAATTAGAGAAGAGCTAACAGAGCAACACGCACACTTATACTACAAATATTAGTAGGGCAATCCCATTGTCTACAAGAGAAAAGTACTGGTAAATTGCAATTATCCACTCAATACATTTCTAGCTTTTCTGGGAGAACCATGACTAGGGCATAATAAGATTAGTTTGCAAGAACATTTTTGTTGATGTTATTATTTCTTTCATGTGTCCTTGGTATCAGCAGTACTGTTTATCATTCCCTGCCAGAGCATGTGAGAAGGGTTGTGTAAATTAGACGACAGGATGCTTACTCTGTCTGCTGGTTGTTGAAGTATTTATCAGTGTGCTAATTAGAGTCCTGTTTATGAGGCTGAGAGAGCTCATGGCCAATTTCTCACATAGCTCCTGTTGGTGGGCAGAGTTTACAGAAAGAATGGTTACATCTGCTGTGCCTGTTGCAGCTCAGCATTGATATTTTATTCATTTTATAGCTAGCAGCGGTTTTTTTCACACAGTATTTGTCGGAAACAGTGGATGCAGTACAAATACCAATGTAGCTCTCATATGTTTGCTCTATTACATCAAGTGGGAAACTTGAAAAAAAAAAAAAAGGAAAATCCTGAGTAATTTGAATATCTTTGCAAACCAAATCTGTAAACAAAAGTAGATGAGTTAAGTCAAAGAAACAGAAACATTCCTGATTGCTTCTACTTGATCACATGAAAGGTAGGACTAGGGATGTGAAGAGAATGATATCATCTCCAGAGGATGGTTGTAGGAACCCAAGGGATCCGGGGAGTAAGGGGAGTTAAATTTTCCACTGGTCCTTCAGTTCCCGCCATGCTTCTGCTCTGCTTTAGTATGTTAGTCAGGCAATCAGCCAAGAGCACATGCACTTATTCTGTTCAGCATAATTGCTAACTTCAGAATGAATACACTATTTTTTCTTCAGCACATCTATTTTTATGATTAAATCAAGATTCAAATCGGGAGTGATTGAGATCACACTTTGCTCACATTAAAGATGACTAGTTTTTCTTGTCTATTGGTGTGAGACTCATTAACTGTTGACAAATTTCACTCCTTTGTTTTAAAAATCAGATGATGTTGGCTGAGTTTTAAATTTTACAATGAAGAAACTCTATCCTGTCAATTACTTTAAGAAATATTGGACATTCTTCCTAATACTATCTGGTCCCTCTAATAGTATCTAGCCATCAACGTTATGATCTCGAAATCGCCCTCTGAAATACATCATTCATGTATTTCACAGTAAATTGTTGATTAAAGAAAGGATAAGGACTCAAGTCTTCTAAAGTAGATCTCACCATACCACCCGGCTGACAGACATGACAAACACTAGTTACTGATAATGCCCCCTTGGTGATGGTGAGCACCAGGCATTTTTACTTCAATCTGCAGTGTTCAACATCTCAAGAAAAGCAATTTGAAACTAAAGAGAATCAATAAATATTGAGGAAAAAGTATGACACAAACATGAAGAAAATAGTCACAAACAAAATGCCATTTTCATCTATTCTGAATGCCAAACTCATCCAGGTCAATACAGGGTCTTATCAATAGGTGGGGAAAAGGTCAAACTGTTATGGGTGTCCTTCATTACTGTTGCTGAGTGACAATGGGGTTTGTTAAAGATCCTATAAAACATTCCAGAAGAAAGATTTGAGTCTACCTTGACACACAGAATTTTGTTTTTCCCTCTGTCTTTACCTAAGATTTTTATCTTAGTACACTCTGGCTAAATATCAAAAGGATGTACAGGCTAAGAGAAGAACATTAAAAAGACAGGGGAGTATCAAAGCCAACCTCTGTTCCCCTTTGGATTTGGGGATACTTTTTAAAATCAAGCTGGCCTCTATCTGTTGTTCTTTTATCTCCTTAAAGTCAGTTTTAGCAAATTCATTACAGAGAAAGAGAGCGTTTCCTTTCCTGCATTGGTGTTGTCTTCATGAATGACGCAGCACAGAGCATTGTGAAGCATTGAGCAGGAATGACTGCTCAAACATTGCCTTCTCAGCCTCTCAAGATAAGCTGACAAGATAAAAGGAGAAAACATGGATGTGCTTTTACAAAGTAGAAAACGGAAGAGAATGAATCTGTGTCTCACCATCAAGGCTTCAGGAAGATGAAGAGAATGGCAGAACCAAATAAGGATAGAAATGAGAGAGATGGGTACGACAGGGAAACTTCCTCAGTCAATATTTAGCTACTTCCACAAAAGTAGAAAAGCTACAGTACGTTTAGGTGAGGTGATGGTTCTAAAGGGCAGGAGAATGAAAGGTGGCAAGATATCAAGACAATATTAGAAGAAAAAGTTCTAAAGAAAGGGGGCATACCATGTTAATAGTGAGAGGGTATAAAAAGTCCTTTAGCAAAAAAGTAATGTAAAGCAGTAGCTCTAACGAGTTTTGCAGTGCTGTTTAAGATGGATTGGGATTCACAATGCCTAGAGCTACAAACGTCAATTAATTACTAGAGTTCTGGTACTACTCAATGAATGCTATAAATAACTAAAATTTTTATCAAACTAAAATCTGTAAAAATCATCTCAAACATTTTCTCATTTGACTAGAACCTGACATAATAAGACATAAATGTGCGCTGTAGGGGTAGCCTCAGCCAATCACCTTGCTTGCCTCAGGGCGGGGTCCCCTGAGGATATTTTTTTACTAATAAATATTGCCGGTGTGCTCTCCCCCCGCATCCCGCTTCTTTTCTGCTTTCCTGTTTTCTGCAGGAACCTCGGGTTCTGTAAGTCTTTTCCTAATTAAAGATAAATATTTTATTTAAAAAAAGGGGGAGGGAACTCACCAAGGCCAGCTGGCCCGGGTCTGAAAAAGCCTGGGTTAAAACCGGACTTGTTGAACATAGTGGACAATGAGGACTACTGAGAACTCAAGAACAATGGCAAT